TTACTGTGTATGAAGTGGCAAAGACGTGGCATGTGGTAATAATGCCTGTTACTGTATGCAGGTTATGGAAAGAATTTTTCTTGACATTGAGGAAGTTTGTTTCATTTTTAAAGAAGATGAGATTTTAGCAGCCAAGATAGCAATCATTTTGCAAGACATGCCAGCCCATTAAGATGTTTCAGAAATGTTTGATAACCACTTTATTATGGCAGGTCATGAGGTGACTAGTGATTTTGAAATTTGTGAGATGCACAGAAGAGCAGTAAGAAGAAACATATTCCTCTAATTCTTGAGAGGTGTGAATAATATTGTTGCACTTAAATGGACTGAAGGGTAGATAGAATATTTGGAACAACAAAACAACATGCTTTTCTCTGACAAGTTGAGCTACAAAAAAAATGAGAAATGTGATGAGGAAGATCAAAGCCACTTCACACTTCATTGAAGTAAGGATTACTACTAGTAATGTTTTGGCCTGCCTGTGTGTAAAGAACTAACGTATGTTATGGACACTATTCTGTCATAATTGTAATGAAACTTCTCAAAACGTTGAAGTCATTGAAAAAGGTGAGTACAGTTTAGTTAAACTAAATGTGTTTTTTTTTAAATTTTGTCAACGTTATGAATGAATGGAATAGCAGATTATATTGGCTCTTCTCCCAATTACAAGATTAAATTAAGAGTTTGCTATAATTGTATTCATGTCAAGCCCATTCTAATAAAATAATAAATGAAGTTAAAATTATTTAGGATTGTTTAATTGATAACAAGGCCATATGAGATTCATGGCTGCTGAGAGAAAGCCCCTTTGGTAATTAAACATGACACTGATGCTGTATTTTTTGTTTAATTTTAATTTAAAGCAAATTTTTGATTGCCCCATTTTACTGGCATAAGTTAATGGCCATGATTACTGTAATTTTCTTTGAACGCACTTGAGTGGACTATTGGAAGATGCATTTTTCAGTATGTATTTTCACGTGTGGTTTCAACACAGTGGTGCTCCACTACAGTGCAATAGTGATGTGCTACAAAGGCTGTCCTAAAATAAAATTATCGAAGGTGCTGAATTGATCGTGGACATGGGGTGCCAGTTTCATAGTCTGCATGCCAGTATGCCTTGAGTTCTGTTTCTTTTCAGTGGTAATTTTGAAAACTGTGTCAGTACAATCAGTACTAGAGAGGAACTGTGGCAACAAATCTCCAACAATTTGCAGGAGAAATAAAGACTGCATCTGGAATCTTCAGATGCTTGAGAGTTAGGCTATTTCAGGCACCTCTTATAAAAAATGAACATATAAATATTGTTATAGCTCCTTCCTTTTCTTCTTACACACACCCCATTAAACTTGCAAAATACTCAAGGTGTGGGAATAGAAGTGGAAAGTAGAATAGCTGTTATTTCTTAACTAAGGCCATCAGGGTAGATATTCATATTCATATTTTTTACATTTAGATAACTATAAACCCTCCTGCAAAGTATCACATGTAATAGTGAAGCATTCTGTATAAGTTTTGAGGTTCTTGTGTCACTTATTTAGATTGTAATACCATAGTTGCAGGTATATACTAGTATTTCAGAGGAACACACTGCCTTCATCTTTGGTGTTGAAGATGAAGTCAGAATGTTCCTCTAGCCCTTTGTTGATGTAGAAAGGTGTTGTTTGATGTAGGTTCTATTTTTAGCAGGTTTCACTATGTATTGTGATCATAAATAATGTCATTTCCATTTATTATTCTAACAGTGTTCTGGTTCTATAATCATTATAAATACAACCTGTATGATATCACAGTGAAGAATTTTTCATAAGACTGCAGTAAACCCTTTATAATCTGGTTTGAGTTAATCAGGGTGTCAGATAATCTGGATCAAGATATAAAAATGAAAAATGCTAACCACAGTTGAGTGCATACTTTAAAAGACACATGGCATTTAGGAGGCAAATGAGTCACTTGCCTGTTCAAACAAAACTTCACAATTTATTCAAACCTGCATTATTATGTTCAAAAATAAGCACAGCTTCTGAGAATTCTAGCAGTGAATAAATGTATTGTCTTTTTATAGTTTTTAAATAAATGCTCCACAGTGATTTTTCTATTTACCATCATGAACACTACTTATCATTAAATTTTCCATTCATTTGTTTTTTAAGTTATTTGTCTTTTAGGACTACCTTTTGCTTCACTAACCTGGATTGTCTCTTAATCTGGATGACCCCTCCCCCATTACACCGGATTAGCAAGGGTTTACTGTCCAAGTAAGCCTTGAAAATTTTAAGNAAACAGAATCAGTAAAAGAGAGTAGTAAATTGCAATTCAGCATTTGGCCACATAACCGGTGGAACAGTTTATGTGAACATCAAGGGGTCACAGAGGAAAGATCGGTTGAATATTTTATGTTAACTATATCCCCTCAATAATGTGTTACTATCTAAACCATAAATTAATTCTTTCCATAAGAAACAGTGAAATTGTTGGGTGTGTAACATACAGAGGATGTCCCAAGAATATGTGCCAAAGAAACTTCATGGTCTTCTTGTTAAGTATGAAAAGAAAGTGGAAGGTGATGGTGCATATTTATCTACCTGCAAGGTTCACAGTACCTTTTTGCACCATTTTTCATTCATGAAATTCAAAACAATCTGCTGTTCAGATAAATAACATATGGCTAGTGGATATGATGGAATTTATTTCATAACTACTGGAATTTTAACAAACAAGCAACAGAATTAAAAGATCAATATAAAATAAATTGTTTCTGTTTGTACTCTGTGCATATAATCCACACAGTCTGCCTGTTCGTTACACTGTGTGTTCTGAAAAATTGTTTATTTTAGGAAAATTTGGAGTGAGAATCTTAGTACTTTCGTTCCTTGCATTCACACTTAGAGACTTTATGCCATTCCAGGGATAGTGTGTGCAAGTTTTATGCTGTTATACTGGGATGTCAGAGAGGTTGCTGTCACAACATTTGGTTGTTTAAATGGGGTGATTCATGAATTTTTAGTACCTTCAAGAAGGAATGATGTGTACGTTACAAAATTCTGTTATTGGAAAGTTCTTAAACCGTGCAGTCTAGTAAATGTAAAGTCACCACGTTGATTGAACTTGGATACACATTCTGATGCATTTTACTACTGAATGTATAACTGAACTTCATAGCCTTACACATCTTCCACTGTGTAATTCATTAAGTTTCTCTATTATTTCTGAATTTTGTATATGCCATGGATTTTGTGTGCCCCATCAGATGAAAATTAAATAGTGGTTTAATATCTGGTGATCACGGTGTTTAAATCTCCAGATATGTGAATTCATCTGTCAGAATTCTGATGGTTAAGAGACTGAAATGTTTTGGTATTGTGTAACGCCATAGGTATTGCACAATCATGCTATCAGAGAAATGTCTAAAGGGCAGGGCAGTTAATTTTGCAAAACCTTGACATCAGTTTTCATTTCTCCATGATCACATCTGAGCATAGATGAAAGCTGCATGTAATTTTGGTCTCATCCTGAGTATACAAAACCCTTAAACCAAAGAATTCAAATGTCAGAGTTAAGGCTCCATTATGAGGATGTGACAGTGATTACAGACCTTCATTGCAGAATCATTTCCAGAACAAGAATTGCCTTGTTCCATTTGAATATTGTTTTTTCCTCAACCACATTTCATCTTCCAGGACATGCAGGTAGAAAAGAAACACTGGCGAATTGAACCACTTTATCATAAATATCAGTGAACATTGGAAAAGAGTCGTGCCTTTTTTAATTTGTTGGCAGTATTCCTGAACTGCAGCATATGTGTTTCCAGCAATGAAGCAGCATTCATCTGTTTTTTCCTTGATTTTTGAGTTCATAAATTAAAATTTTTGTAAATTGCATATTTCTGTACTTTCATGCCACAACTCTGCATACATTTATTTTTTTGGTTTGTCACATTTTTCCCTTCAGTTTTGTTTTGATCATTACACAAGATAGAAACAAATCTCTGCATCTTATAAGAACACAGTATTTTATTTTGTTCTACTTCATGAAATTATCTAGCAGCATTTGGAGAGCATATTCAAGGAACTGAAGGTGAAAATTAAAAGACAGTCAGGTGTACACCCAAAATTACTGTGCAGTGACTGTATAAAAATCCTTGTCCACTACTGAATTATAAATCAGACTTTTAGTTCTTCTAATGTATGAACACACAAATTTTGAACAGTTACTGCATTGCCATGGTATGAGTCATATATTTACATAATACATCGCTTGAATTTGCAGTGTTTTGTATTTAAGAAAACACTGCTTGAGATGCAAGCAAAAAATAGGGTGCCTTGGTAGGATTTGAGATTCTGATAGTAGTGGTTGTGAAAAGTTCTGTCGCCTGGGATGTAATGCTGTATAGTTCATTGAAAGGCAGCCAAATGTTTCAGAGGAGCATGTTGCCTCCATCTTCAGTGTTGAAGAGTAAGACAAGAAAGTAGCATGTTGGAGGCTCCCAGAAGACAAAGCTGTATAGAATACCTAGCTTATAACATTGTTAATGTGAATGTAACGTAGTATGTGTTGACATTGGTCTGCAGCTTAGTTTTGCATACTCCCCCCCCCCCCAAGAATGAAGATGGAATGTTATATATTAAGCATTTCCTCCATCAAAGACGATGTGATATACTGGGGTGACAACTAGATAACATGATCTTGTATATTTAGGATTACCATGTCATACAAAACATTACATTTTTATCAGTGATTTCAGTGGGTGGCCATCCATTCTCATTGCAAGCTTCTTTCTTGTGTGTTGATGGAGAGGCAGCTGTGCATGCATAGGTCCAACTGTACTTAGTTCATCTGAGCAGAATTTGGAGGGATGCTGGTTGGGAGTGAAATGGTTGACAAGTTGAATCTGCAAAGAGCAGCAGATTGACAGCATTGACTCATGTTTCCATCTTATTTAATTTCAGTGATTGATGTTATATTGTGCTTTAATTCTAAAATTATGTGTAATTTTTCAGATACTGATAACTGCTGGAGTCACATAGGAGGGAATATTTGCTGCTAGTCATTTTGGTAAGTTTTTTAGAACATAATTTGAAGTCTCATTACAAAATAGTGGATCATAAAGGAATAGAATGAGATGGTATGAATTAGATTGCTTTGGCATGGGTTAAAAGCCTGTTGGTATGCTCTTGTGAACACAGTAATGAACCTTCAGGGTCCATAAAAATTGTGAATTTCTTGAGCAACTGTGCTTTGGAATTTTAGTTTTAATTTGAAATATGCTGCCACAAATTTCAAAGCAATTTGGAAGGAATTAGTATTATATAGTATGGATCAAAAATGTTAGTATCCAAAATTTTTCAGATTATATTTGCATCAATATTAGAGTCAATTTTACCGACTACACAACACGTTTTTATTATTATTACACTACATGTTTCGACCTCAAGAGGTCATCCTCATGTGTACGAACAACTGTATAATTACACGCAATCACATTCGTTTTTCCACTTATTCGACTCTGTATCTTATTCAGGCTTACGCTCAATGATATATCAAGCTCTTCTTATAAAACACAAGTTAAAATATTCTAAATGTTAAAAGTTAAAATTTAAAAATTTTTAAAATTTCGTGAATCGAAGTTTGACTGAGATCACTGGTTATACTTTCACTTTCACTTGTTTTTCAGTCTCTTCCTACTTACGCTCACCACTGCGTCCAGTTCACTTCAACTAGTTTAATTACTACCACTGGTTAAAAGTTCATGAATTAAACTTCAACGTTATTATATTGGTTGCACTTTCACTTTTTTGGAGGTCTTGCTGTTCTTCTGCATCCCCTGATGCTGATGGATCTGTTAAGATCCTTGTCGTGATGGCGTAAGCCTGAATAAGATACAGAGTCGAATAAGTGGAAAAACGAATGTGATTGCGTGTGATTATACAGTTCGTACACCTGAGGATGACCTCTTGAGGTCAAAACATGTAGTGTAATAATAATAAAAACGTGTTGTGTAGTCGGTAAAATTGACTCTAATATTGATTAAATACACAACAGGATGCAAGAAAGAATTAAAGTTATATTTGCATACCCAGCTATGGGCAAGTTTTGGGAAATAATATTTTGTAGTTGTTTTTAAAAATCAAATTCACTGATATTTACAAAATTGTGTTGTATAAGAAACCAGAAGTGAGGTAGAGGCTTTTAATATGTAGAACCCCCAGTATTTTCCATAACTGGAAGACACATGCCACTAAAAAGATAACTTTTCACCTAATCTATAAGGGCAAATGAACTTGGTGATGAGCATTGCTTCCAACAGTAAATAAAACTGTTCCTTTTTTTGTCAAGGTGTACAGCTGTACCACAGCACATTATCTCACTGCCAGGTGATGGTGATTTTGACAAAGGATGGCCCTCTAGTTCATAGTCAGTGATGATGGCTGAAGGTACCGCATTGTGGGTTTGATGGAGATTTCGCTTGGGCAGAACTGTCCGAGGATGAGGGATAGAGGCCTGGAGGTGTACAACAGGAGAAGAGCCAACACCTGTCTAGGCCAAAGGCATAAAACCAGGATGAACCACATCTCTGTCTCAGTTTGTGGATAAACTGTGTCTTCATCTCAGTTTCTCTGTCTCAAGAAGCTGATAATCTTGTAGCCAGCCCTGGAAATCATTGCCAATTATTATGTACTTTATTGAGAAAATTAGTGAAAATATCAATATTATGCGTACTTTTGAAAGTATGAAGAAAATGTAAACATAATTATACAGACAAATATAAGACATTGGGAGTTCTACAGTGTGAAGTTGAGATGACGTTTTAAAACTGAACAAAACCATTCAGTTATTTCATGGTGGAGGATTGAAAACTCTTCTACTTCACAATTTTTGTGGATAATTTTTTGTTTTACATCAGCCCAACTGTAAACCAGAACTTTTTGGGGCAGTGCTGGCCATTTCCAACATTTCTTGAGACTGATACAATCAGCTGTTGGACTTCTTCTCCATTGGATAGTAGTGTTGACACCAACTGTATGTTGGTGCAGGTGGTTTGATGTCCTCTGGGAAGATTCTCTTGCCAGCAGAAACATTTGACTTATTGTGCTGCTTTGTTTGGTTCTCTGCACCACACTTCTGTTTTTCTGCCATATGCTTGTTGAAAGCACTGCCAGGCATATTTTTTTTTGCAGACATTGTAGAAGTTTTTGCTTGTCAATAAAGAAAATTCCACATTTTTGGAATTGATACAAATTTTTACTCTTGTATTCCAAAAGTTTGGTCTTCGCTGCTTTAATGGACATGAAAACACATCTTTGCTCATGGACAATATCGGATTTGCAGCAGCTTCTTGCTTGTATATTGTGAGATGACAACTGAAAGCTGGAGTAGTGGAACCATAAGAGATGCCATTGCTAGCTTGTGGCTTGATACGCATGTTCCTGCAGCATGTTCCTGTTGTTCTCACAACAAGAGAAGCACTGCTGGAAGTGATTTTCTACATGGTCCATGTCTGTATAACAACCAATGGGGCAAATTAGTGAGTCGTGAGACAAAATAATATGAGTCACGGGTCCTGTAGGGCCCAAAATCAAGACTGCCTGTGCTGGCAAGGGTGAGCAGCAGTTTACTAGACAGACAGTTGTGAGTTAGGAGTCAGCACTCATTATTGACGGTAACCCATGAGCACATAAGTAGAGGAATCCCCATTGTTAGAATCTGCTATGTAGTAATGCCTAGTGAAGACATAACAAACTGAGAAGACTTAGTGTGTGCTGTAGTGATTTGTAGAGTGTAGGTTAGTAAGTGTTGTAATTATGTGTAGTTATGAGTCCCAAGCATTCAATAAATCCAATTATTGATCCAAATTTTGTGTTTGGTTGCTAATATATGAAAATATGTATGTGTATAAATATGAGGGTTGGAACTTTAATAGTGACAACACTGATCTAGAGACGCCATGCAATGGAATCAAATAATGTCTTTTGTACCACATGTTAGTTACATACCTACCTTACCTCAGAGCAAATGGACTCTCCCTTCCCACATCACGTGCATGCGCAATGACGAGAAGAACAGAGCCTTGTGTTAGCTGGCGGTCTAATGTAGTGTTGTCACGATGTTTTCGAAACAGGAACAACGGAGTTGGATAAAGATTGAATGTACCAGAGGCCGTACAGCATGACAGTGTCATCAGGGTCCTCAAGAGGCTGCGGGGAATCTGCTGTTCTAGTGACAAGGTGGGTAAAAGCCTTCAACGAGGGATGCCAAAATGTGGCAGACATGCATTGGCCAGGTTGTCCTAGTGTTAGTGAAGAAGAAATGTATGCTCTTTCCGCGTTACTGGAGAGTGATTGACGCCATACGCTGCGTGAGCTGGCCCGAGAGACAGGATTAGCACATATGACTGTGTTTAGGAATAGCACATATGGCTGTGTTTCACATTCTGAAGGAATTACGACTTTTCTGCCATAACTTTCACCTCACACAACTTGCAATAAAATACCTCTCCAGCGGTACTAAACACTTTTTCACCAGACTCCTGTAAAAAAGTTCTCAACTTTGTGCTCCTTGAACTACATGTACTCATTCCAGGCATTGTAAAGTCAAACTGAAGTGTTTGAAGGCCCTCCACATATATAAATAGAATACTTTTAAGCCATCCAAGAAAGATTGGAATGGGTATATGCAGGTAAATGCTGCATTCCACAAATTTTGTATCCTTTGTAACTGCAAGTACAGTCCAGTCAAAAATAGGTTTTAATATGAACATCATGCACTTGAACTCTATGCCACATTTAAGCAACAGTCCAGTCTGAAATTTATTTTGTAGTACAAAATATTATGAAGCCAAAATTTTACATTATATCAAAGAATTGATAGTAAAATGACAAAAATATGACCTTATTTCAAAATTATGCCAAAATATGCTGTAAAACCAATAAAACTCTAAAATATGCATTTGTATGCACAACAAAAATGATATAATTTCAATGAGAATGACTAGAAATGTATACAGTTACATTTAAAAATAGGAATAAACCCTAGGAAAAATATGACATGTCATAGAAATCCGGGTGCTAGTCATCACTGTTCTGAGAATCTTTACTAGAGAAAATTTTTATCTTCTGCAAGTAGATAAAACTGCCAAATCAAGTTATTATTCTTGGTGTACGTGGACAGAGTATTATATTCTGAGCTGGAATAAGCTGGTGAGTAGTTTCTTATGGAGTGAGTTGGAGTTCTCTGATGTGTGTAGTGACCTTGGTCCAGTTCAGGGTTTTGTACTAAATTGTGTTGCCAGTGGTGTCCAGATGTAATTGAGTTCGCTCTAAGTCATTCTCACATCTATTCACTTGTTTATCCCAGTGATATAACAGTCCTCGCAGTTGCTTTTTGTACTAGTTATATCTTCCTTTAGTAGCTTTGCAGTTTCTATAATTGTGTTCCAAAGCGTGAATCACGAGTGCATATACTCATTTGTCATTCACCTTAACTGTTATTATTTGTTATGCTGTTAACATTTTTTTTCTGGTAGAGTAGGATGTCTCCTAAGACAAATATATACATATCTTCATAGACCATCATGTAATTTACCTGTTCATGGAGTTACAAGCTGGGCTCTGGGAATATTGATTCTTTCAGGAAATGTTTACTTTATCACCATTACTTGTTCTGAGACAACCAGGATTAATACTATTATACCATTTCCAGTGGCAACTGGAACTGAAATAGCATGTTCCTCCTCCCTCTTCCTTAAAAGGTATTGAGGGCATCTCCAGATATTTGTAAATAAATGCATACATACATATACACAGATTTGGTAGCATTATATATTTGTTACAGCAAATTAAATAAGATCTATGAGTATATTAAAAGTCAAAAGTAGATAGTCATCAGTGTTCAGTGTTACAAAATAAGAAACTAAAAGAATGTGCATTTCAATGCATAGCATAACCTGAAGTGAAGAAAACTATTCCATTGTTTGAGGTTACAAAGGCAATGTTGGTCATAAATAAAAGAAATGAGAGCTATAATAAGAATTTCCTGAAATATTTATTGATATTATGATTTTAGAGATCTGTATAATCAGCTGTACACTTCGGCTCACAGTTGTATGTTCATATGCCGTCTGTTGGAAAAAATTAATACTTGAGGGAGTTTGGTTGCTGAAGTTATGTCGGTCTACAGATGACTAATTAATCTCAAATCTTGCTCTGAAGTCAAACTGGTCAATAGAAGGCTTGTTCACAAAAGGTGTTCAAGAGTTGAAACTATCTTGATTGCATGCAAGCTTCAATTTCATAATTAAATTCTGAAACACTGGATAAAGGTCTTCAAGGGATATTTTTTAGTCGTGTCTAAAATATTTTTCTTCTCTTGTGTCTTACACAATGTTGACAATTTTGCCTTTCAGCATTTTCCATGATTACAAATTGGGACAGGTATATGTCTGGCCGCCGGTCACGGTAGCCGAGCAGTCTAAGGCATGTACTGTCTTCGCTCGCTTGGAAACCGTGATCGTGGGTTCGAATCCCACTCAGGGCATGGATGTTTAGTTTGTGTGTGTGCGTTTTTCTGTGTTTGTGTACAAGTAGAGGCCTTGCGATGAGCTGATCACCCGCCCAAGGAGTCCTACCAACTGTGTAAGATCTAGAAAAACCAAAGTGAACGGAGAAGTTGATGGAGGTAGGCCTAGGCCAACTGGGGCTGCAGTGCCAAGGAAAAAAAAAATGTCTGGCCACTGATAACTTTGTCATACAGCATGCATGTTAATGTTAGATCTGCCCGATTAGCCATGAGTTGTATTTCCTTGCAAGAAATAACTAAATCGTTTTGTCTTGTGTGTTATTAATCTCTTGGAGGTAACTGCATGCCATCCATAATATGAGAACTAAGAGAACGACATTGCACAGATCCCAGCAAATTTTTCAAGGAGCAATAATGCCACTATCAGGTACATTTCAGTATGGGAAATCTAAATAAATCTAATAATGAATCGTATTCATGAATGGTTTCAAAATAACCAACTAGTGCTTAATCTGGACAAAAAGCATGTAATTAAATTTACCACTCCTAAGGCTTTAGACTATCCACTACATATAGAATATAATGATCAAAATCTTAATATTGATGAAAATGTTAAGTTCCTGGGTATGTGCCTAGACTCTCATCTCAATTGGAAACAATATTCGATTAGTTTTAATAAAAAAATTATGCATTGCAATTTACATGCTTAGAAAATTGCAACCCATTGTGAATGGACAAGTTTTACGTATCGTCTATTTTTCCCATGTTCAGGCTCAACTCAATTACGGAATTATTTTCTGGGGCTCATCTTCATCAATGAAAAGCATATTTGTGGCCCAAAAAAGAGCAATAAGAGTTTTGTTAAGGCTGGGTCCTAGAGATTCATGTAGGGAAGGCTTTAAGAAATTGGGTATACTTACAGTCCCCTGCTTATATATATATACACTGATATTGTTTGTAATTAAAAATTATAATATGTACCAAGCAAACGATAACATACATCAAATAAGTACCAGATGGCACAATAGGCTACATGTTTCTTCTGTGAGATTATCTTCCATTCAGAAGGGTGTGCATTTTACATCTATTAGAATATTTAACAACCTGCCACAAAACATATATATCTTGAAAGACAATATTAATATTTTTAAACAAAGACTAAAGGATTTTCTGGCTTCAAAAGCATTTTATTCGGTAGGTGAATATATGGCAAGTAGGTAATTTTATGCATTGTTACAGTCTGTTTTCTAAGACTATGTTCTAGCAAAGAATTGTAAGATGACTGATTTCTATACTGTTGTACCTATCAATGTTATAATTATTGAATATTTTATTGTCTAGACCAGGTTGCACATTGCAATGTCAGTTTGGCTGTGACGAGTTCAATATCCAGTCCGGTTTCCGGACAAAGGATCTGTGAAACCATATAGCTATGTTATGTTATGTTATGTTATGGGAAGTCAGAAATTAGTGCTCCCACTTATTTTTAAAGGAACACTTGCTGAGGACCCAGCTTTTGCGGAGAGATGAATGTGATTCCATGATGCAGGCTAATTCGTATCACATTACGCAAAACGAGCTTAATACTGACAAATTAGGTTTAGAGAATTTGGAATATTGAATAGTAGTAAGTCTTCTTTACCGACCGCTCGCTTTCTTCAGAACGCTGCAATTGAGTGGTTTTGCTAGTGTATGGTCACTTGCATAGGTGGCAGCGTACAATTCACGACACTTTCTCCAACAAATGGCGCTGAATTAGCACATGTGCTTGTTGGTAATGTGGGTATGCGGTGTTATAACCGGTGGCAGGTACGAAGTAAGTAATGGCATCTAGTGATGTGATTGTGCACCGTCAATGTGAATTATCGGAAATTCCTTTTTAATCAAAAGAAATTAGTTAAATGTAAATACCTTTGGATTAACTTTTCCCAACACTTCACAACTTGGTAAATATTTGAATTTGTTTTTCATTATGTGTGTGTAGTTCCCGACATTAATTCCCATACTTCATGGAAACGAGTCCTACTACAATGAAGTTGTATTAATGGCTCTTGGGGAAGAGTATTGACACTTAGTCTAAGTTCGAGTTTTGTTAAATTTTCGAGGTCTGGGTATTGAACAATAGAGAGCATTTACTATACTATAGCGTAGCATTGCATTATTTTGCAGAGTTGTATGTAGTGTTCTTTTGTAGTTCGACTTGCACGTACATTTACCAAAAGCCGGTTCCAAATTCAAGTTGGCCCACAAGCCTGCCGTTTTTAAACTTACTACAGCAGTCGCATAGCTGTTCATGTTGAAAGTTTACTATTGATTGATTGATTTATTTATTTAACATCCATAACTGTTACATTATGTACAATTGGACAAGTCAGTTTTATAAAAAAATATATGAGATTAAACATCACATCAAATGACTAATAATATAAAAAACCATAGAAAAATAACATAATAAATCCTTTAAATATGATAAAACAGTGGATGAGTATAATAAGGCAACAAAAGCTAAACTATAAATTACATGCAATATCTAAAATAAATTACCTAAGTATCTTTGTTCTATTATTAAGCTAATTCTTGTAAAAATATTCTTGAAGGGAATAAAAAGCTTTGCACAACAAGTAATCCTTTAATTGACGCTTAAAAACCTTGAACTCTTGAATACTTCTTATTTGAGAGGGCAAGTTATTATACAATCTTATTCCCATGTTAATCACACTCCTTTTACAACGTGAGGTGTTTCATGGTTGGACATACAAATTCTGCTTATGTACTGTGTTATAACCGTGCACATCTGAATACGAGATGTTATATATCCTATTTTTCCTTAAAAAACACAACGTCTCAAAGATATACAATGAAGTTAAGGTTAAAATTTTAAATTCACCAAAAAATTCTCTACATATCCTGTTATTGACTCTTTTGATCAGTCTTAAACATTTTTTTTTGGATTTTAAATACAGTTTGAATGTCCTTTTGACTAATAACTAATAACCATCGTTCTTGCCATTTGACATTTCTTTGTAGTATGTGACATTTATAGAAGCCACTGCTTGGTAAGGAGCTATTACAATCAGATGTTTCAGTTTAACATATCAAGAATTGAAGGTCATGTCGCAGTTGGTTATGCGAAATGTGTAGTATCAGAATACATGAAATCAGCGCGTTTGTACAGATCGTAACTCATGGTGTCGGCCGTCTCCTGTTATGTAAATATATTTATTGCTACAAAACCTTCAGTGCTTTATACTTATCATTTTTTAATTATTTAATGAGATAATTTGAAATTGATATACCAGACAGATCACCTTGAGGTAAGATTGTTCTTTCTTGTTATTTTTAATGTGTTAAAACTGGTGGAATCGTAGACGTTTATTTGTGCATGCTAGTTATGAACCACTAAGGAGTTTAGTCTGTGTAAATACATCTTCAGAAGTTTTTCAGGACGTTTGTACCAATTTTTTTGGGAGCAGGGTCCCCTGTACTGTCTTATTTGTCTAGTTAGATGAGCTGTTCTTGTTTTGGTTAAGGATATGAATTGAGTTGATATTTTATTGTCTATTGAATTTGCTGCCCTGTCTATTGGAAGGACTGTGGTTGTCGATTGGCCCAGTAATTATCTCACTAGAACATACCACATTGGCCACTTGATCAATAATTCTCTTGTATTTGACAGTGGTTCATTATTTTAATGATATGGTTGCTACTTCTATGAAAGCAGTGGAGAAACTGGAGATAAATAGATTGCAAACTATGAAACATTTCTTTGGGGTGTTACTAATGCCAGTTCCCAGAGCATGATGGTGGCTAGCAGGCAGCCTCTTTCCAGTTTAACATCCTACCACATGGATTAATTGTAGGACCTGTGTATGATTGATAAATGTCTGTAGCAAAACAACTTTAATTTACCAGATATTACAGTAACTTCGAATATAGTGTCTTTCTGATTGAAACATGTTTTGCACTGATGTAAGAAATTCCGTGATGTGGTGAAGTTTACCATCTGCGATTGTTTGCTGTGTGATATATGGATTATTTATGCAGATTTTCAGTTCAAGTTTAACTGCAGGTGATAATCTCAGCATACCTCCAAGGAACATGAACGTGAACTGATTATTTGTTCTTCAAAAACAGCCCATAGTCAGAAATGAATATTTTGTGATGTTTTCTTGTGTTGTTCTGTTTAAAGTGCTGACAGTCAATTTTCAGTTAACTTACTGTGGTTGGGCACTGCAAACACAAAAAATTCTCAAAGCTGACTGGCCACAAGAATTGACATTCATGGATTCATGGAAGTGAATTGTGCATTTCTTGTCACTGCAGGAGTGTATTTATTTTATGGTATGGCTCATGTTATAACTTTTCCCAGCTGTGCACTTGGGAATGTGCTTGGATTATGGAATGCACCATTTTCAGCAAATAATGTAATAGCAGTTGAGTACAGTGTCTTTCCTGAAAACATTTATCAAGTATAGGCAGAATCTCCTATTAGACCTGTGCAGTAGTGTGTTGGTATGTTACTGGAAAGAAGTTGTATCAAGTGGCAAGTTTGGAGAATTTTCTTTTAAATATAACACCTCTCATATGTAATTAAAATTATATTGCTTCTGTTGTGTTTTCTTCTTCTGCTTCAAGTTACTTCTTTTTGAAGCCCTTGTATACAAGACATAGTGCAGCAAGGATGCCAGTTGTATATTTTAGAGCTTGTGTGTCCAAGAATATGACAGTAGGTTAGCTTTGCCCTTCTAACTTAGCAGAGCAGTCCTTTTAACTGTGTGTGTATGTAGAGGCATGTACATATGTGCTCTTATGCGTATGTGTGAATTTGCTTGCATGTATATGTTCAAGGCTCCCCATGCATGACTGCCCAGTTGCTACAGGTGAGTTAATATTGGTGGTCAGTGACTTGGCCTAAATATATGGTAGAATGAATGTTGGTACGTGGCAGTATTTCTTTTTGTATTACTGTACATTGTAATGAAAGTCACTTACTGTATCGAGTTGTGGTAATCAACTTGCAAGTAAAAGTTTCTCATTGCTGTTTGCTTATAAGAAATGCAGTATTTTAAAATGAAGCTGGTATGTATAAACTGTTACAATATTGTGTAGTGTTGCTTGACTCTGTGTATGTTTGTACTGTTTTTTCTTTTCTATTGGTTATGACAATTTCCACCATGATTTTTTTTCAAATGGGGAGCAACCAGAAAATTTGCTTCCAAACTTGTGTTTAAGCTGTTAAGACAATTTTTATATATTGCCTTAGGGTATTAACAGTAGGAGAATAACGGGTTTTAAAAATGATTTTTATTTTTGGCTGTGATGTTTTCAGATTTCATATTCTTCCAGTAATCAAGTGGGGGTAGGGGGTAGATGGCTGGCTTGACCCCTCTCCCCCTCTATCACCCATGTTGAGGGTCAGGTTCCCTCCCTTCACAGGTCCAAGATCATGTCTGGTGCCCATTCAGCCTCCTAATTAGAGGGTACCAGGGGTCCCTTTTCCTCATGGTAAATCAGCCAGATGTTATGCTGACTGACCACACCATCTAATATTGTGGGTGTAAATGCATGGAGCCATACCTCCACTTCTACATGCATCTTCATGGCTTGGTGTTTAAGTCAGTACAAGGACATTACATAAAGTTCAATAAAGAGACTAAGATATTTATGTTAAGAAACAGGATGTTTTGACCACATGTCCTTATTTACATCAGTATTTCAGTGTTTCTCTGCGCAGTATCCAATTTGACAAAAATATGTAGTGTTTGACCTCCTCGTTACAAATCATTTACTGCTTAAATATTCTAATGTGCTTAATTTTGTTTCAGATAACTCACTTTGATTTTTGCAACTACTGTGCAATGTTTGAGTGGGCATACAGTGGAGTGAATGCATCATTGCCTGGTAATGGTGGCCCAGAATGTGCTTCATTTCTCTCTTTGTCAAGAAGAATAACTGAGACAGGCATAACATTGGCCTTTGCTGTGATATGTATTCTATGGGGCTATAGAAACCTGTCTCTCATACCACAGATCTGCAGCTGTGGCCAGAAAAATGATACTGGGAAGAGGGTGCTATTGGTTGTCATATCCCTCATGTGGGGGATGGAAATAGGTTTCAAATTTGCATCAAGAACTGTGATATATTTATTCAATCCCTGCCACATAACAACTGCTTTACAGGCAAGTATCATCAGTTCTACTTTCTATCCCACTCCTCTCTGCAAGCACTTTAAATATAGCAGTGTAGAAGAAAGAGTAACGATTTTTAAGACCACAGTTTCCTGGGTTGTAATTCTGTGTAAAAGGGTAAAGGTATCCCTGTAACAGGCTGTGGAGGGCCATAGGGTTGTGAGACATTGAGGCTCCTGCATTTTCTACACAATCGGCTCACAGATGGCGGTAAGGTTGTTAGCCTTACGCAACGGCCGCCCTTTACCTCCCAGGAAGATACCTGTTACTTATTTCTGTTAGAGACTGACTCAACCCCAGGGTCATAGTACAGCTGGAAGGATTAGGTCAGTTGAAAAATCCAATGATCTCATTGGGACTTGAACCTGCAACCTTCCGGCTTGTAGCATAGTGCCTCAACCAACTACGCTATTGTGTGCCCCTATGTAATTCTGTGTAGCTCAGAGAAAGCCTGATGTTTCGGAGGAAAATATCACCACCTTTTTCAGGTCAAAGACTTGAGCCAAGCAAGAACCCAGCAGAAGCAGGTGCCAAGCAGGGCAAACCACATATACAGTTGTGGACTACATTTTCCTTAACATCGTTGGTATTGTCTGTGTGTGCTGTAATAGACATGCATTATGTAAAGATTTTATACCATGCAGGGATAGAACTTGAATAAGAGGCATGTGTAAAAAATAGTATTGGTGCTTGCATCCCCTTATGTGTCTAATATTTTATTTGAGTTATAACTGTCAACATAACAGTAAACTGGAATATCTTCAGCTGAAGACAAAAACAGATGTCGATATGTATCTTATTTATTTAATGTAAGCATGGATCCCATGCTAAATATTTTGACCTATGATTCATGTCATCATCAGGCACCTTCTAAGATCTGTAACCTAAGTTATCAAAATTAGTTGTCCCAATATGGATCCATATTATGCAACAGGTGTCTGTTATGGGTGAATACTTATTTGTAGGTGGACCATAAATCTACATTACAGTTTTCATTTCATGCATCCTGTTATATTATTATATACAATTTCTTCATTAGAGTTTGTCACAACACAACAATATGAAGGTCAAGGCTAAAATTAGCTTGGCCACATGTTTTGGCTATTGAAGTCATCATCAGGCAAAAACAGTTCAGTAGTATGTGATCATGCTAATGATGTGTTTGCCTGATGATGACTATAATAGCCGAAACATGTGGCCAAGCTAATTTTAGCCTTGACCTTCATATTGTTGTGTTGTGACAGGCTAATAAAGAAAGTCTACATTACACTGTTATAATGAAACTTAATACAAATAGTTATGATTTAAAATTTAAGTTATAAATAATTTCTTCCAGAATATATAGATTATAGGAGTTAAAAAGTTCTTAGCACCTTTGTCAATTTTGGGTGTTTATGCTACATGATGCTTAAATGCAATCATAATGTAGTGGTGCTGTATTAATTTTTTGCTAGCTGGTGTTCTTAGGTGTTGCGAAAATGTTGTATGATTGTGTGCCGATGTGCTGGTGTGGGACTTCGTACTACTTTATGCTTTATACTTTGTAGCTTTTTACTGAAACCGATGCTCGTGTTCGTGATGTACTAATGATTTCATGTTTTCTTTCTATAGTCATTTTGGAGTCACATAGGAGAGTTGGGTGTTTGAATATTAGTGAGCACTAAGGTTGCCCCCTGTTGTTGTGATATTTGAGTCAATCCAAAATGCATAATGAGGAGGTTCATTACTTGTATTGTGCACCAAGTATGATTAGAATTATCCAGTCAAGGAGGATGAGGTAGGCGTGACTTGTATCACCCATGGGGCGAAAGTGAATGCATATAGGGTTTTGGTGGGAAAGTCAGAAGGAAAGCGGCAACTAGGAAGACCTAGAGGTAGGTGGGAGAATAATATTAAGATGGATTTTAGAGAGATGCAGTAGGGTGGTGTGAACAGGATTGATGTGACTCAGGATAAAGACCAGGGCTGTTGTGAATGCAGTAATGAACCTTCGAGTTCCATAAAATGTTGGGAAGTTGTTGAGTAGCTGCATAACTGGTGGCTTCTCAAGAAGGGCTCAGCTCATGAAGTTACTTAGTTATATTAGAGAATTAGAGTGTAAATGTGTTGGTTGCATTCAACAGGCTAATGATAGGCTTTTTTTTTTCCCTTGGCACTACAGCCCCAGTGGGCCTAGGCCTACCTCCATGAACTCCGTTCACTTTGGTTTTTCTAGATCTTACACATATGGTAGGACTCCTTGGGCGAGTGATCAGCTCGTCGCAAGGCCTCTACCTGTACACAAACACAGAAAAATGCACACAAACATCCATGCCCTTAGTGTGGTTCGTACCCACAATCTCGGCTTCTGAGCGAGCGAAGACAGTGCATGCCTTAGACCGCTCAGCTACCGTGACCGGCAATGATAGGCTTTGGTGGCATGATTTTTGTCAGTACACTAATGAAGCTTTACATTGATAAAATAGTTGAATGCTTGTCTATGCCTTGAAATGACTATAATTCATGGTCATCATGTAATCCATAGCTATCTTGCAGGAATACTGTGGAAACAGTATTACCTTTGAAGGCACTGTAATATTACATTGATGCCACCTTTTGAGTGGCATGGAAAGGCATAATAAAAGTTAAGACTTCAGGAAGTTTCATCCTTGTTTCTTGGTTTATGATTGGAAGCTGAAAAGAATTTTATTTAAGAGAACTGATGTCCTTATTTACTTCTTTGGTTGTCTTGGTTCACTGTGATGTTACTCGGCTTATTTTTTAGGTCATTTCTTCTTTGTCGAGTTTATAATTCACTGCATGCATACTGCATCGGCTTCAGATTGTGAGTGTGTGTATGTGTTCCCTTTCTTGTGCTTATGTTATTTTACAACTCTATCAGTAGCTGCACTACGTGTCACTGAATGGCAGGGTGGTAAGTGGGTGCTGTATAAGTAGTTGTGGTGTCATCGAGGTAGTCCCAATATTTAGCTGGAGAACATGAGGAAAACCACGAAGAACTTCATCAGGATAGGTTGTGTCCCAAGCAAGATTTGCACTGAGCACCTCATAAATATGATTTAGCTGCATTACCACAACACTGATGTGTCAGAACTTCAGTATTTGTACTTGTGTCACTTGAAAGGTTTAGTCACAGATACTACCCAATCATCTTTTATTAACTACAGAAACTACAGAAGTAATATTTATCTTCTATGAACATATATATTATTTTATTACAGATATATTTGTTGGCTGCACAACCAAGCAAATTAGTCACCATAATATATAGACTTCAGTTGAATTTCTTGAATGGTGCAGTCTTGGCATGCGCCTTTCCTTGGACGGAAACTCGTGTGGTAAGTACACTTGCTGGACTATAAAGATAATGCCACATTGGTAGAAATTTTGCGCAGATAGTGGAGAAAAGAATTTTGGTGCTGCCATATAGGTTTGGCGCATTAATAGCTGTTTACAATATGTTTGTATACTCATTTCTGCAAACACTTATTCCACCACTTCAGTAATTTCAGCTTCAGCAAATTTTTGGTTAAGACAGAGCCTTTATTTTATAATTTATTGAAGACTAAAAATAAAGAAATTATTTGTCTAAAACAAGAAAATTAGGATTCATTAGCTGCTAAAGTGAATGGTGTTAATGTTTCTCAGTAAAAGTTAAGGGCACTGAATCCAAAGGAATAACAAATTTTGAGTTACGTCACATCGAGTTACACGATCACCCTTGCAAATCTGATGTATCATGTAAGTAGAGGGTGTGTTAATTTATAAGCATATATGTAATATTATGACATGATGGCTGAAAGCCAGAATAATTTGACAAGAAGAGGTGGTCATTGCTAGGCAGTGGTGTGCTAAACACGTTTCTGCAGAAGTGAATCAACACAACAGAGAGGAAATGCTGGAAGCTGTGTTTTCTATGTGGTCTGCACTGAGGCTCTGCAGCTCGGACCAGTGGGGAAAGTTAGTCGAGTGAGAGGACGAGAACTGTGGCAGTCATACAGTAGCTCGCCTACACCAGGTCTAGATTGGATTTAGTATTTGAACAAAACGTGTGTTGGACAGAGTGGTTTTTACAGATTTCACTTTACATGGTGTGTTCATGACCAGCTCCTGTTTGGCAAATGTGGTGTTGGTAAAGTTTGCCACTTTTTAGTACTTGTTACAGCACGTATCAGTAACACTGAATGAAGCAGTCCTGAAGGTGAGTTCACAGGCAGGACAGAGTGGTGTAGTGAGGAAAACTTCAGTGGAATCAACAGCCCACAACAACTTCCATGAAGTAAAGAGAAGCAAGAGGCACATCTCTAATAATACATGGCACACAGCCAAGAAGTCGACTAAACCAGTGCTAACATCTACAGCTGTTAGGCTGCCTCCGAAAGCAGTGTTAACTCGCAACTTCTTTGCACCTCTGAGAACTACTGACATGGACACAGGGACTACTGACAAAGCAATTTAAAAGACCATGTCAAAGGAGAGTGTGAGTTCTGAAATACATGACATGGAACCTGTATCATAACAAAAGAAGTGGACTATTCAGTCATGAAATCCTATCTGGAGAAAAATAATCTTCACTATTTTGCCTTCTCCCCAAATTCCAGAAAGCCTATAAAGGCAGTCACCTTCCCCCAGACATGCCAGCAGAAGATATATCCGGCACCCTTGAGAACTTAAGATTCAACATAATCTTGATACAAATGACAGCCACTCGAACAGCACCCAGCGGACAAACCCAGATGGAACCCCTCCCACTATTTCTTGTTACCTTAACAAGAAACATAAAATCTCGCGAAATATTGAAGCTGAATAGCCCTAACCATATTATCATCAAGGTATATTTATACAGAGCTCAGACTGGTCTTATGCAGTTCTACAACTGCCAAAACTTTGGCCATGTCTGGGCCAACTGCAAGTAACCCCCTCATTGTTTGTGGTGCGAAAAGAAATATAGAATTCATGCCAAGCTACTGCAGTTGTACCCTAGGAGAAGGAGATGAATTTCACCCAGCATCATACCGAGGTTGCAGTCAGCAAAAGGAGAACTGCAAAGGAGAAGAGCACAATGAGCTCCCAGAGGATCCTCTGGGAGGACGTTCTGCTCAAAGTTCACCTCACCAGAGTGATCCTACACAGCTGCAATGCTTCAAGACATGGAACACCTGCAACCACAAACACCACAGACAAATGGGGAAAGCATGCAGTCCCCATGCAGCAACATCTGCCACAACAGGAAATTTAGAAAACAGGTGTGTCAGTGCAAGCTTCCCTTTTGCCCAAGAGTGACATGTTAAAAGTCGCCACTGCAGTCCAACAGTTCATGACAGTGCCCAGTCAAGTAGTATCAGAAAAAGACAAAATAATGATCATTACAAAAATTGTACCTAACTTAATCAAATAAAATGGTGGCTAGAGTTCATAGGCAGCTCAACTTTATAGCATTTAATGCAAATGGTACTTGGAGGCATCACAGTGAGCTCAATAAACAGCTGCAAGACTTACATATAGATGTGGCTCTGCCCTCAGAGACACATCTCAAACCCCATGATGGGTTCTTTACTTCAGATTATCATTTTTATTGGACTGATTGCCCACAGAGACAGATACAAAACCCCATGAGGGGTTCTTTATTTCAAATTATCACTTTTATCAGACTGATTGTTTCCCAGGAGGAAAGGACAGAACTGCCTTGCAGTTAGAAATGGCATTCCTCATAACCATGTAGATGTGCCTTCTCTTGCTTCAGCAGAATCCCTAAGGGTCTGCATACTGATTGGTAATAGTGAAGTGCTACTTGCAGCAGGCTATAAGTCACCACACCACGCCTGGAATGATGCAGAAATCCTTGAGCTCTTAAGCTTTAGACATGAATCACTACTGGCAGGAGATCTGAATGCTAAACATCCATTTTGGAATAGCATATTTTCCACCCCTTTATGTGCAAAACTACTGAATTTACTGCATGTAAATGAGTTCGGAATTTTAATACCACAGTGTCCCTCTCTGACATTCTGAACTCACATCACCTACCAGTCGTTTTCCACTTTCTTAATCATGTTAGAACTAGGAATATGTCAGACCCAGTTGACAAATTCTGAGCATTTTCAAAGCCTAGCGTCTGAATTAATTTCACCTAGAATCCAAATTAACTTGGGTGAAGAAGCTGATGAAGTGGCCTGCGACTTTACTGCCTGTATAGCCTTCTCATATAGGCTGTCAACATGCATACTTATACTCAGACCTGAATAAGGTTCTATGTGGTCTAGAGTGCTGATGGTGGAATTCATGCAACAGGGGACCTCAGTAAGGTTGGAAGTACAGTAGAACTTGGTTATAACATCATCAAAGGGACCTAAAAATAGTGTCGTTATAAATGAATGTCGTAACCGAAATGGGAACTTCCACAGTAGCCTTATGTTAGTCACGTAAAATTCTACCAAAAACCGAGTTAAAATGTTGCATTTTTTAGTGAAATATATAGTTAAGTACAGACTAACGTAACATTAACGTGGAATTGCCCAAATGTGTAATATCAAAGACATTACAGCGCTTTTCACTGACAATACACACAATATTTCACGAATCACTTTAACTTTCTCTTCAATGCTTAAAACTTTCCTTTTCATTGCCATGTTTTCGCTACTGCACTTCTCTGGGTTTAGGCAGGAACACTATAGGGTAAGTAGACAATGTGAGGTCCTGTTAGACGAGATTCTAGGAAAGGAATGCAGTTAACAACCTGCCGCGTCCTCTTGCACTATTCACGCAGTCCCACCCCACACCCTTGTTTTCGCATAAAACCCACGCTCCTCTTGCAGCCTGCGGTCGTATTCTTCCAGGACAGTCACGTCAGCAAGTAGAGAAAGTGAGGGTGGGCAGACACATTGAACTTTCCCACGATATCAGAGAAATTCAGGAATGAAAATGATGTTACATACGAGGTTGATGCATTTGTGCATGTCGTACTGAGCAAGGTATAAAAACAGTTGCTTTATGAGGAATTAGTTCGTACCATTGAATATTTGACGCAATAGACAAGATGTCGCAGAAACCGATGTTGCTATAACCAAGTTTTACTGTATATTGTGAAGTACTAAAAACTGTATAGAGCCATTCAGAGCAAAAGGCGTGGAATGCTGACATCCAGTATAGTGCTCATCCATTGCAATACACGTCCGTATACAGCTGCTGTGACCCGAGCACTGCTGGAGCATTTCAGCTGGGAGTTGTTTGACCACCATATTTACCCCATGATCTCGCTTCGAGTGACTGCCACCTGTTTACTGACCTGAAGAACTGGTTAGCATCACAGCTCTTCAACAGTAATGTGGGGGGAGGGGGTTCCAATTTAAAACCAATTCTGCAAAACTGTATATATAGTTATTCAAAAGAGGCTGGTCTTATCACATGACAGTGACTGAGGTTGCATTTGAAAATGAGCTTTATGGTACCTAATATTTTGAACTTTTACATGAGAGTCGTTACATTAGAATCTTATGTACCGGAGACGTTGGAAATCTTTTAATCCTCATTACATCATACTTTCACAGACTCTTTCATTCTGCCCCATCATTAGTTGCCTCTTATATTTAGCAGTTTACTTTAGGGTTGACAAGAGTTACATACATATTGTAAAATTATTCAGTGCTTTGAACTATGAATTTGATGGATCTTTTTTTTTTGTACAATTTCAGTTTCCCTTTGAAAAATCTATATATTGGATTCAACATAGTATGATGGTGATTGTGCCTTACTATTTACTACAGTTGGGAGGTAAGAAAATGTTGCTACCATATCTGTGTACCTGCATAACATGCCTGTCTATATGAACAGTCAGCTGACAGCTATCCATGATATAAATGGCAAAGTATCATGCAAATTCAGAATCAGAGATGGGTTTAAAATGATACCAAATACATACAAATTATTGACACTTTGTCACCCTAATGTCTGTCTTCATGTTGCTCTCCTTCAGATGGAAGCCTTTATTAAATATATCACAAGTTTTAAATTTGTAATGCAGTTAGAATCTATACTAGTGGAACTTATGCAAGGAAGTGGGTAACTCAGTTGTATTAAATTTCTTGCTGTCCTCATTGTACTGATTTAAGCCTTGAAAGGAAAGTAGGCATCTTAATATTTATCTTGTATTTGTTATGTTTTATACAGAAGTAATGAATTCACATCTGAATATGAGAATTAGCTGTATGGCCAGAGTCTTGCAGTTGTGTAAGCTAGGCAACACTGAATGTCATACAGATTGTACTTCTCTCAAACACATTTTCTGTTCAGTGTTTCTTTTAAATGTAGAAGTAAGTAAAATTATAACAAAACAACATGCAAATTTTGTGATCCTAATTTATTACATGTTCAGAATAATTTTTAATTTCTGGTATTTTGTGTGGTGGGTATGTGCAAAGCACGTACATATCATATTATGCTGTTAGAAATACTATATTCCATTGTAGAAATTAGTAGTTATTCTATAAAATATTCCTTGCTTATTTGCCTGGTTAGTCTTCTTATACCCTTTCTGTATTTGTCATAATGGAATTACAAGGGTTGGGACTTTAATAGTGGCAACACTGTTGCAGAGACGCCATGCAACGGAACCAAATAATGTTGCTTATACTACACATTAGTTACATACCTACCTTACCTCAGAGCAAATGGACTCTCCCTTCCCACATCACGTGCATGCAAGGTGATGAGAAGAACAGAGCCTCATGTTAGCTGGTGGTCTAATGTAGTGTTGTCACGATGTTTTCAAAACAGAAACAATGGAGTTGGATAAAGATTGAATGTGCCAGAGGCGGTACAGCACGACAGTGTCATCAAGGTCTTCAAGAGGCTTGGAGGGGAATCTGCATTGCCTTACAGAACGAATGGTGTCATTACAGTCACCACAAAAATCGAAAGTTCATCAAAACCCCAGCAGTGTGAAAGTTATGGTGATTCTCATGTATGACTGTGATGGTGTTATCCTAATGCATACCGTTCCCCGACAGCAGACTGTCAGTGCACAGTATTACTGTTCATTTTTGGAACACAACCTCCGACCAGCTTTGAGAAAGAAGTGGCGACACTTTCTGCAGAACCCACCCATCATTTTGCAGGACAATGCTCGGCTGTATGTGCAGCGCAAGCTGTGGCTGATTTGTTCGATTGATGGGGCTGGGAAGTGCTGTACCATCCACCATACTCCCCAGAATTAAGCCATTGTGACTTTGACTTGATTCCTAAGATGAAGGAACCACTTTGTGGCATTCGCTTCAGAACTGTTCCAGAGATTCTTCAGGCAGTGGACCACTCCATTCGAACTATCAACACCACAGGCGCTGCTAAAGATATCCTACGACTTCCGCATCGCTGGCAATGGGTTGTACACAATGCTGGTGACTACACTGAAGGCCAGTAAAACTTTGAAACGTGCATCTATTTTGTATCAGTTGTAAATAAATAGTTGCCACTATTAAAGTTCCAACCCTCGTATGTACCCTCTTTGTTAGCTTTCAAACCAAACAATGTATATTTTTATAGTTCATGAACAAGGNAGATGCTGGATGACCTTGGGGACAGAAGAGGATATTTTCATTTGAAGGAGAAAGCTCTAGATCGCGTCAAGTGGAGGAACTGTTTTGGAAGAGACTGTGGACCTGTCGTCTTGACAGATTATAGATGAATGAATGAATGAACAAGGAAATTGTAATAGCTTATACATTGCATTGAGGTAATTAAATATACATTGTGGGTCAGAAGTCAGTACATACTTGAAATGGGGAAGCATTCATTAACCATATCATGTAATCATATCATATCATGTAGTATTTTAAAGCTCTTGAGTTTTCAGAAATGGCCACCTCCCACATTGATGTGTGAGAAAAGAAAAGAAATGTACATTTTAATTTTTAACCCTTTGACGTGGTAATTTAAATTCCGCGGCCGCGGCTCCTGCGGTAATATATTCAGCCGGCCATTTAAATTTTGCTCGAAAATTATTTATTCATCATTGTTCTTCTATGAGA